CAGCTTTCTCTCCTAATATCCTTTCCCTGCCTCTGAGTGCTCTCCAGGCTCCTGGGAAATCTGAATTCTCTACTTGTCATAAAAATGTTAAAGATTCTTGTCTTAAAGAATCAAACTTAAGATTTGCTAGTTGAGGCTTGAAAGAGCTGTATTTCTTAAGTGTTTATCTAGTTTTTTCCAACTTGTTGGCAATTTTAGAAATCTTGAAGGCAGAAAGATAGCAAAAGTCTGAAAAAATAAATATTTTTAATTCTTATCTTTAAAGCACATTTAAAAATTTTTTATAGCGTTTATTTATTGGGGCACCTGTGTGGCTCAGTCGGTTAAGCGGCTGACTTTGGCTCAGGTCACGATCTCGCGGTTTGTGGGTTGGAGCCCTACGACTGGGCTCTGTGCTGACACCTCGGAGCCTGGAGCCTGCTTCGGAATCTGTGTCTCCTCCTCTCTGCCTCTCCCATGCTCATGCTCTGTCTCTCTCTCTCAATAATAAATGTTAAAAACATTTTAAATAAAATGTTTATTTATTTATTTATTTATTTATTTTCCCAACGTTTATTTATTTTTGGGACAGAGAGAGACAGAGCATGAATGGGGGAGGGGCAGAGAGAGAGGGAGACACAGAATCGGAAACAGGCTCCAGGCTCTGAGCCATCAGCCCAGAGCCTGACGCGGGGCTCGAACTCACGGACCGCGAGATCATGACCTGGCTGAAGTCGGACGCTTAACCGACTGCGCCACCCAGGCGCCCCTGTTTATTTATTTTTGAGAGAGAGAGAGAGACAGAGGGTGAGCAAGGGAGGGGCAGAGAGAGAGGGAGACACAGAAGCCGAAGCAGGCTGCAGGCTCCGAGCTGTCAGCACAGAGCCTGACACAGACTTGAACTCACAAATGGTGAGATCAGACCTGAGCTGAAGTCGGCCACTTAACCGACTGAGCCACCCACATGCCCCTAAAGCACACTTTAAAAGACAGTTTTGCAAGCATTTCCAAGTAGATTTTATTTATTATTTTAATGTTTCTTTTTATTTTGAGATAGTGTGAGCAGGGGAGGGGCAGAGAGAGAGGGTAAGAGAGAGAGAATCCCAAGCAGGGTCCGTGCTTAGCATGGAGCCTGCTACACATGGAGCCTGACACTGGGCTTGATCTCACAACCATTAGATCGTGACCTGAGCCAAAATCAAGAGTTGGGCACTTAACCAACTGAGCCAGCCAAGGTGCCCCAATTCAAGTACGCCTTAAAGTGAATTTGTGGGCCATTAAAATAACTAAATATTTTAATGATGTAAGTTAATTTCCAAATTTGAAAACTTAGTTTGGCTTCCATTAAGATGGTAACGAAATACAGTAATATTAATTCATGGGATGAAGTGGGGGTGGAAACAGGAAGTTTTGTTAATGAAGAGTGTAGAGCTTTAACTTCTAGTGACAGCACACGCTCACCAGGCTGTGAACCCACCCTCGTAATTTCAGATCCTCTATCTGTTCCAATGGTCTAGGGAAAAAGTTAATTTGAGAAAGATTCCCAAAGTTAAATAATTTAAAGAATAGCTCTGATATTTTGGGAAGCAGAACTGAACAAATTTTGTTACATTTTGCTTTAAAGAAGTACCTTAAGTTTTTGTTGAAGGCGTTTTATTTCCATTTGCAGAGTCTTTGTAGCTGCCTGGGCTGCTAACGTCTTCCGGTTCTCAGTGGCCAACTGCCGATTAAAGACTCTATTGTTCAGCCTCAACTGTTTTTCCAAGCTCTGAAAACAGTATATATTTTAACTCTTCTGTAACCAATGTAGTATTGTTAACAAAGTTCAGCTGTAATGGAACTAATTGCCTTTACGAGAAGTGCACAGTTTTAACTTAATACAACTTTAGCGCACGACCGGTGCAGGGGACATATGTTAGAGCTGAACATAACCACACGCACAAATACAAAAGCCGAAAAACCCACATGTTCCAACTCTAGAGAATAAATATGTTTGGAACCCAATGATTTTCACACCCCTGATTTTGATTAAAAACATAACCTTTGAACACTTCCTGAAAATTAATAAATATAACCAACGCCATACTTTAAAACTCAACCCAGGTGGCTGTGCCAACTCCAAGACCTGCTAACGCTGCAGGTGCGCACCGGGCCCTGGCCCGCCTCGTCCGCCGTGGGGCGGGCCAGCAGCAGGGCAGCCGCGCATGCGTGAGTCTCGGATGCCTGGTCCCGGAAGCTCCCGCAGGGGTCACAGCCCCGCCCCTTCCCCCCCCCCTCCCCCCCGGGATAAAGGAATTCCCTGTCAGGGATTCCCTCCCCAGGGCTAAAGGAATTCTCAGACCAGGAGAGGTTGGGCAGCTGCAGGCCATCCGTGCCCAGGGCTCACTGGTGCGCGGGCACCTCCTCAGCAGTTTTGCAGAACTCTTTGATCTGGACTTTGACAGAGGCTTGACCAAAAGGCCTTTTCTTTCCTTTTGTCTTTTTTCCCATTAAGTGCATTTCCCCCCATATTAATATTAATACTCTGTCATTAAAGAAAAGTGGGCAATATGGTAAGCTGAGAGGATGAAATAATCAGTAAAAATCCCAGTCCCCAAAGTATTAACACTAAAGAAAAATACCGACATGTTTTGTTTGGCTCGTCAACATTTTCTCCCCCAGCAAATGCCCTACAACCAACCAAATGCTTCTGATAAGAAAAGGGTTCATGAATTCTTTTTGGTTTTGGTTACAGCTACAAAAAACATGAATTCACATGTATACATAAAAAATAGGTAGGTGAGATACAACTACATTTACTTGACAGACGTGAGCTAACATGGGTCCGCTATTAACACAGGAGGCCAAATAATCGGACTTTTCTACATTATTTATGTGACTGAAAATGCGGCTGCTCGTCATTTTCTGTAGTTCACATATCCACTTCGTGGGAGGAAGTTCTCCTTGAAAATAGAGGATTTTTACCAAAGAAGAAATAAATAATAAGGAAGTGGATGAAATGAACTTGATATTTTCTTATTATTTCAAGTTTGTAAAAAATACTTGCCTCTCACCATCATTTAAATAATAAGGAATTAAACAGTAACCTAATTTTATTTATGTTTATGTCCGTAGAGACCAAGAACTAACACACAAAAAATTCTCAGTATAATCAGGATGTTCCCCCAAATCATCCCTCATAGAGCAGTCTCCAAGACTTTGACACCCACGTGCTATTCTAGAAAATCAGCCCATTCATTAGATGATTTTAGTTCCTTTCCCCCTCCTCAGTTCCCAGGAGCATTCTCCGGGAAACACTTCTGTTTCCAGCCTACCAACAATGTCTCTGCGGTAGTGACTAGACAGCTGACCAGGGGGAGTGCAAGGAGAGGGGCTGGAGACATGCGGGGGGGGGGGGGGCAGGCTTTTAGGGAAGCGGGTCTTTAATAAACAGATTCGAGGAGAAGAAGGTTGGCTTCTAAGAGGTTTCACACAACCCAACCCAACACCTTTCCAGCACATGAGCACACTTACAGAACGGTCATTTCCAGACAAACGAGCCTGGCCACAACAGAAGGGACATCCCC